GGAACTGGGAGGAGGGGAGTTATGGGGGGAAAAAAGAGGAACAAATGTAATAATCTGAACAATAAAGATTTAATTAAAAAAAATAAAATTTGTTCACTGCATTTCTTCTAGTCTCAGTTACAATAAAATACATGAAATTTGGTCAAACCCATTAGTTTCAATTTTTTTTTTTCTTTTGTAAGACGTGTGTATAAAAAATAAAAAGTTGTTTCCTCTTTTTTCTCCTTCTGTCTCCTCTCCTCTTTCTTTCCCTTCTCGTGGAGGTAGTTGGGCTGAGGAGGTTAGAAAGAGGGAGGAAATGGATGAGGAGGTGATGAGACCAGAGGCCAAGAAGTCTGACGGCATGGTCAGGAGATTACTTCATTAAATAGAATGAAGATAATGGGAAACAGGGTTCTCACAGTTAGAGAGAGGTTTATGAAAATGGAAATAGAGGTTACAGGATGGGATTGCAACTGAGAGAGATCCAGGAATAGATAAAGATGTGTGTACAAATATATAATTAGGTAACACGTAGATATAGATATATATAAAACATATGTGTCTGCCACCCCTCCCTCCCCCTCCCTTGGCCTTCACCAAACTATTGTCCATGTCCATGGGGTATGGATATATGTTCTTTAGCTAATCCCTTCACTGTCTTTATCCAGTTACCCCCCAAGCACTCCTCCCCTTGAGTACTGGCAAGTGTAAAAAAAAAAAAGAATTACATATTTGCATAGTCTTGGAGTATCTCTTAATACCACCTACAAAGTGGGAAAAGGTGGACTTATGGTTCAGGAATCTGACAGGCACCAACTTGAACAGGTTATCAAGTTAACATCTCTAGTGGTAGGAAGGAATAACATTGAAGGACTCGATAAATACTACAATATTGTTTCTGTGCTATTCCTGATAAGAATGAAAATAGCATTGAAGGACTCATGATGAATACTACAATACTGTTTCTGTGCTATTCCTGATGAGAATGAATGGCTTAAGTCTGGACATAAGAAAATATCACATGGCCCTAGGTTGATTGACATTCTTTATACTCTAAAACTGTAAGCTACATGAAAGTCAGAGAAAGACTTTGAAGCTGCTCCAGATTAAAAGAAACCAAAAAATATGAGAACTAAATGTGAGGCATGATCTTAGAGTAGGTCCTGGACCAGGAAGAAAAAAGAGACATTGAAAAAGTTAAGGATATTTGAATGAGGTTTTTGGAATGAATTGGATGGTAATGCCACAACCCTTTAACACAGTTCCTCATGTTGTGGTGACCCCCAACCATGAAATTATTTTCGTTGCTACTTCATAACTGTAATTTTGCTACTGCTATGAATCGTAATGTAAATATCTGATGTGCAGGATGTATTTTCATTGTTCGCGACCCACAGGTTGAGAACCGCTGGTACTGGTTTTGGATGGTTTGTATTAGTATTCTGTAGGAAGTGTCTTTATGTGAATAAACTAAGGAAAGAAATACTATCACAGCTAATGTTCAAGAAAGTATTCCATTGTGACGATGTAGTACTCAAGAGATATGTTTGGCCCTAGCCGGTTTAGCTCAGTGGAAAGAGCATTGGCCTGTGGACTGAAGGGTCCCAGGTTCGATTCTGGTCAAGGGCTTGTACCTAGGTTGCAAGCTCAACCCCTGGCCCTATCAGACTGCGTGTAGGAAGCAGCCAATCGATGTCTCTCTCTCTCGCATCAATGTTTTTCTCTCTGTCTCTCCCCTTCCCTTCCACTCTCTCGAAAAATCAATGGAAAAATATCCTCAGGTGAGGAGTAACAAAAAAAATAATTAAATAAATAAAATAGCATCATTATACTTCATTGATAACTACATTACAATACTCTAAAATTCTTGAAGATAGGGATCACTTTGTGTATCATTAGTTTCTGGTGCCTACTGCAATCACTGAAACAAACAAACAAAAATATTTCCTAAATATTGTTGAAAACAAGTTGTTCAAGGGTGGGGGGAAAAAAAGGACACATATGTAATACCCTTTGTAATACTTTAAGCAATAAAAAAAATAGTTTAAAAATAAAATAAAATCTTCCCCATTGCTTGTAAACAAAAAAACAAAAAGAAAACAAGTTGTTGAAGATAGGAGAACAATAGTGTCTAAATATGTGTGGAGGAGAAAAACTCTCCTTCAACACAATTGGGCTGATAGATGAATGATGATTTGAAAAGGGAATTTAAAATTGAAAGCCATAAAAATTGATACATATGAAATATTTTAACTTAAAATACACACACTATGTATATTAATTCCTTCACAAATATTCCATTGTAAGGCGAGCCCTTTTATTTGAGTATGCATTGGTTTACGAGAATTGTGCAACATCTTTCCTATAGTAATAATACTAGAATGCATCATCTGATGCATTCTGCTTTCATTAAAGCCTATTGTGAAGCAATTTGAGCACAGAATCTTCCTAGAGTTTTGTTTTTCTTATCTTTTATAATTCTCATCCACATATAACTTAGCCAAACTTTTAAAAATATTAAGTTTTCACAAAGCATTCAATCCTGTTTTCTTTTGCTATATTTTTTATGATTTACATAGTATTTAATTAAATTGTCAACAGCTAGGCCAGTTATCTGGTAACAGAGCAACTTAAAAGTTATCATGATTGGTTGTAGTAATAGGAATTTTAGTGTATTGCTGACTTTCTCCTACAGTTGCGTGGCCATATCCCGGTTTTTCAGGGAGCCCACCCATCAGGTTGTCCCTAGCAGGTTTGGCAGTGTAGCCTCCCAATCTAGAGTTCCTGGGACTTGGTCCTCTGGAAGAAAGGCAACAGGTCAGGGCTTCTGCAGAATTTGCCATGGTAGCTTCAAGTTAAGCAAGAGTTCCGCAATTTCACACTTGAGAACATTTAAATATCTCAAGTGGATGTCAATCAGGCTGCATAAATAACTTCTATGAGCATTGCTTCAAAATTCAGACTTTTAAAAGTTATTACCTGACCAGAAAGGATAAATCCCTAGTGAAATGAGTTAAACGTCACATGAGCAACAGCCTGGGGCTCCCAAATCAGGTAAGAAAAACTCTCCCTTTGAATGCATTTATCACAGCCATAAAACAATCAACTGAATTAATCTAAGCAGATTTTGGTTGGCTCTTGACATGGCAGCATGTGACTAATACACTGAGAGTACTCAGATTTGTTTGTTTTTAATATGTTTTACTTTAAGTTCATTTATAAAATATCTTTGAGAATTTGTTCTGTTTAATTTTATTTCATACTAGAGGTCCGGTACACAAAATAGTGCACTGGGGGGTCAGGTCCCTCAGCCGGCCTGCACCCTCTTTGCAGTCTGGGAGCCTTCGGGGGATGTCCGACTGCCGACTTAGGCCCGCTCCCCAGGCAGTTGGACATCCTTAGCACTGCTGTGGAGGCGGGAGAGGCTCCTGCCACCGCCTCTGCGCTCTTCAGCAGTGAGCCCGGCTTCTGGCTGAGCGGCACTCCCCCTGTGGGATCGAGCCAAAACCAGCTCTCCGATGGGGTCGCAGATTGCGAGAGGGTGCAGGCCAGGCCAAGGGACCCCACCAATGCATGATTGGGGCCGGGGAGAGACATGGGAGATTGGCCAGTCGGGAGGGACCACGGGAGGGCTCCAGGGTGTTTCCAGCCTGTCTCATTCAGTCCCGATCGGCTGGACCAGCAGCAAGCTAACCTACGGTCAGAGTGTCTGCCCTCTGGTGGTCAGTGAACATCATAGCGACTGGTCAACCGGTCAACTCTCTGCCCCCTGGTGGTCAGTGCATGTCATAGTGGGCAGTTGAGTGGCCTTAGTATATAATAAGTATGTTTTAATTGGTTGAACAGCTGACCGGATGACCAGACACTTAGCATATTAAGCCTTTTATTATATAGGATTAGGAGATATAAAAATATTTTAGGGGCAATATTTGCTCCTGAATGTTCATTTAGAGTAGCAATTTCAACCTTTTTGATTTCATGGCATAAATAAATTGCTAAAATTCTGAAGCACACCAAAAAATATATTTTTTGCCAATCTGACAAAAAACATAGGTATAATTTTGATCCATTCACAATAAATTACTATTGTGTTGGCTATTGTCATCTTTTTACTTGACAATCTAAAGGAAAATATCTCAGTGCCCCTGATTAAATAGTCAGGTATTGCATGTTTTAAAATTCTTGCAGCACACTAGTTGCAAATCGCTGTTCTAGAATAACAAACTAAGAAACAGAAGTTGTACATGTAAGTGGGTATTAGTGTATATTTCACAATACATATTAATATGTTATAGTAATAAAGAAATATCTTTATTTATTAAAAATATCAAATATGAATAATGACCTGTCATCTCATCATAAAATAAAACATCATAAAGTCACTCATGATACTATTTCAAAATTATGTCTTTCTTTCTGCTCCATAAGACCTAAGCTCAAAGGCAATGTAAGTCTTACTCTGCCTACCATAACTTGTCATAAAGTTAGACACACAATAAATGGCAATTTAATTGAAATAAAAGTTGGAATTATGACAAATTAAAGAATGCAGGTTTTTAAAAATGCAATTTCAAAGTTACAAATAATGAGCAGATGGGACCAATATTTAATTTTTTTCTTTTGTATAAGTGAGGCTCTGCCGGGTTTAAAATATAAACCCAATCATACTTCACCTCTGAAATAAGAATACCAGAGACTTATATATAAAGTGGCCAAAAAGAAAAAAGTGCTAAATCTCCTAAATAAGCATCATATTAAAAAAAAAAAAAAATTATTCTATCAGATGCTAAAGGAAAGTTACCAGGAATTAGTACAAAATTTTTTAAACATCTAACATGGAATCTTCTCCATTACACATTTTTTATGCCATGATTATCAAACGTTTGAGTTTTCCTTAAGAAATATCTGATGGCTCTCTATAATCAGTTCTTACAAATTCAGAATACAAAATTCATGCTTCCCCTACTTATTATCAATGATATATTTTATCCAAAAGAGAAAAATACATAAATCCAATGTTACAATAGTAAGGTTTTGTTTTATTGTGTTTTCCACATAGAGAGAAAGAAGTTTTTTTTGAATGAAAAATATTCATCACAAAGATAATCTATTAACTGAACAGTAACAAATTAAATTAAGTCAGTAACAAATAAAATTTCACTTTAAATGAGTCAAGTATTCTGCATTTAAAATTCAATTTCACAAACATTCAAGATTAGTGAATTTTGGTAAGAAAAAAAAAAGACAAGAAGGAAAAAGACACCTTTTCAAAAGATAGTAAGTTATAAAAGTTTGGTTTTTTTAATTGCTTTGGGAAAACACAGTATTGTTACTTAAGAAAAGTCTTTTAAGAAAGACTTAAGTGCTTCAAACCAAGTGGGCTTCAGAATAAAAAATATTTTAAAATTTTCCAAGAAATTAAAGTTTTAAAAATAGTTTACTGCTTATTCATTTAATTCCATGTTTAAGGAAACATTTGACAGATCAGTAAACAAAGGGAAAAAAAAAACAGAAACATTTACCTGCATTTTCATGTAATAAATTCTAGATCTATAAAAATTTCCTGGTTTGTGTATAAAGGCCAATGTTTGACCTTCATTGATCCATTTGTATGTAGTTAAAAAAATACAGTATCAAATCTTTCTCCCTTTCTCCCCAAAACTAGAAGAAATATTTTAAGTTGTGAGTGTGTGAATGTAGTTGTGCATATCCTTGAGTATACAAATCACACAAACATCACTTTACTTGGAAAATTATTTTCATCATACTGTAAACATATCTCCCCCTACATACGGACATGTCAAAAGAGTCTTTGGTATTATTAATTATTGTGCTTTGAAATGGAAACAAGGGATTTCCGTAGCAATGCTACAGAGACATTGTAAGACATAAATAAGAAAAATGCACTTGGAATAAGTTACAATTAGCTGCTTTTGCATAATTTTCAAAAACTACAGTGTATTCCTAGTCACAGTTTTATGAGAAAAAAATATCTCCTTTTCAACTCCTTAATTTTAAGGAACACTTAATCATTTTGGCTAAAAATCCATTTTTGGAGTGGATCTGATGGATTGCAAGACACTAAGCTTGGATGCTCTCCATTTGCTGAAAGGCACATCTTTAAGAATGGATTATATAGAAGTAGATCCTAGAATAAAAAGAAACACAACAGACATTAAGTTTTAAGACTCAAAGTTAACTCATAAATACAAAAACTACTTTATGGTCTTGTAAGGAGAGAAAAAGAAAAAAAAAAGGCCTTTCTTTTTCTTTGTGATAGCCTTCCACAATTTATGAGAAGCACCTAAGATTGTTAGCTCTTCTGATTCAAACAGCCCCTGTGTTCAAACTACAAGACAAATACAAGATACTCTCAAGGCTACATTTTTGCATACCCCTCCTCCCTGCTATTTTCAGAACTAAGGGATATTTCACACCAAGGTTTCTCTAGTTAATAGAAAACTCCCTTCCCCTGCAACCCCCCTTCAAATAGGCTTCTTTTGAACTCTTCATAACTTTTGCTCTAAGCATGTTTTACAAGCTTGGGAAAAATATTGGTAAGACACCTCCCTAAGGCATCTGCTGGTATTGTCTCCTGAAAAACACTTCAGCCTCAAATCCCCCTCCCTGCCTTGTCACCTAGCAACAGCAGCCATTACCCTTTAAAACAGCGGTTCTCAACCTGTGGGTCGCGATCCCTTTGGGGGTCGAATGACGCTTTCACAGGGGTCGCCTAAGACCATCAGAAAACACATATATAATTACAATAATATATTGTTTTTGTGATTAATCACTATGCTTTAATTATGTTCAATTTGTAACAATGAAAATACATCCTGCATATCAGATTTTTACATTACGATTCATAACAGTAGCAAAATTACAGTTATGAAGTAGCAATGAAAATAATTTTATGGTTGGGGGTCACCACAACATGAGGAACTGTATTAAAGGGTTGCGACATTAGGAAGGTTGAGAACCACTGCTTTAAAAGGTGAAGCCGGTTTTTGCTTCTTGCCCCTGTATTGATTAGCAATGCATGGGCAGGGTCCTCTCCCTTGGAGGAAAGTGAAATAAACTTCCTCTCTACATCCCTTCTTTGAGTTGTGAATTCCTTCTCAGCCCAAGTCACAAGCCCAAACCCTAACAGATCTCATCAAAGCTAAAGGAAAACCTGCACACCAAATATACACCATTCTTAACTTGTTATTTTCTAAGATCAACTATGTCTGATAAATCTTGTTGGTTTCTGAAGTAAACACCACCAGTTATGCCACTACAGAAGGTATTACATAAATGAAGAGAGGTATACAGAGCAAGGTCTCAGTCAAGTTTTCAAACAAGAAACATTCCAGCTATATATACCCATAAGTGACAAACTCTTTTAAAAAATGTAAGTCATAAAAGTCAGTGTTCTTGCATTTCACAAAACAGTTTTCAGATAAGAGTTACTAGATTCCAGCTAATCCCTAAAATATGTTTTATAAAAACAGAAAAGAACTTTTGTGTATTCTCTTAGTTCTAAATTCACAAACAGGGAAGAAAAGAATTGAGCACTTCAGGTAAAAAAATAGTAATAATAATGATTTTTCTTTTCTCTCTGCCAAGGAAAAAAGTATGTCTATTACAAGACGCATTATAAGAAACTTTAAAAAGATAAATATGGACAACAATTAATAATTCACAGAAGTGTTGATCTGCATAAAAACCATGCTTTAACTACGAAGCTTTCCAATTATTTTGTTCCTAAGAGTATTTAACTCATATATTCTCTTTTATCACATTGGTAAACAAACAATAACAAAGTTAAGAAAAGCTCAGAAGTTCCGATGGATAATGTTAATACAAAATGTTTCACGTATGTTTCCAGATAAGCAATTAGAGCTATTCAAAACAGTAATTACATAAAGGGGTGAATTAGCTGCACTGAGGTACCTTTTGGATCTCCCATATCTGTTCTCCAGTGGCAACTGTTTTGTGACCTTTGTAGGTACATGTCTTCAGCTGAACAGGACCTGGAGCAGCGTGGAGACATAACTCCTTCTGGATGTTATGCCGAATTTCATGTTGAGCAGAGTATTCAAAGTACTGTGAAAGACAGACTGCTGTTACTGACAAAAGCACCTATATGCTCGGGTGCAAAATAACAGTCCAACCAAAAAAATCAGCAACTTGCCCAATAATGAAGTCATGTCTACTTCAACAAGATTATACAGTAGGAACTGGGATCAGGAACATAAGCTGAGTTTTTATGACAGAAGATACTACTATAACCTTTCTCCAGCCTATTACCAACAGGAAGTTACCTAATTAAGACATTATTGTCTCCTCCCCATTTCAGAAACTGGAAGTTATCTGGTAGGATGGAGGCTAAGTCAGGTACTCCATAGGAAAGGGCCTGGCAAGCTCTAGAAGCACCTTAACTGCAAATGTTCCTTCTCTCTTATTCATCTCAATTCTTGGCATTTTTATTTAAACTAGGAACATTTAAAAGGGGGTAATCTCCTTGCCTCCGTGTCCTTGCCTGTGAGTTGGGTAAATTAATAGCTCCTACCCATTAGAATTATAAAGAGAAATGGGTTAATTTATGCAAACAATGATAATAACTGGCTCATGTTGGGCATTCAATACATTTTAGCTATTGTTACTGTATTGATGCTCCTTCCTCCACATATGTCCAATTAATTACTAGTAGTCCCTTCGTCCTACTGAATTGTTCTCTCAGATATTACCATCCCACCCATCCTTCCTTCCATATCCTAACTTCTCTTATTCAGAATCTCTACTGCAACACCTCCATTTACCTGCAGTTTCTGCTCCTATATTTCAGTTCACTCTGCTACCTCAGTAAGTGGAAACTCACTCTGCTTCAGTTCACTGTTTGTCTTCTATAACATTTATTAGATCCCCTACCTCCCCTGCTAAAGTGAGTCACTGCTGTTGCTAAGATAAAGTCCACATTCCTTAATTGGTACATGAAACTTCCATTTTCAATCTTTTATTATCTATTGTCCCAATTATATACTACTAGAGGCCCAGTGCACTAATTCGTGCAAGGGTGGGGTCCCTTGGCCTGGCCGGTGATCAGGGCCGATCAGGGGAGCCGACTGGTGGGGGAGAGGGACCATGGGAGGTTGGCTGGCTGGCCCCCCTGATTGGCGCCGATGGGGGCGCAGGCTGGCTGGGGGAAGGGACCACGAGAGGTTGGCTGGTGGGGAAGGGACTGGGAGAGGTTGGCAAGCTGGTAGGGAAGAGGGACCACAGGAGGCTGGCCAGTCGTGGGAGGTTGGCTGTTGGAGTGCACTGACCACCAGGGGACAGCTCCTGTGTTGAGCGTTTGCCCCCTAGTGGTCAGTGCACATCATAGCAACCAGTCGACTGGTCGTTCGGTCACTTAGGCTTTTATATATATAGATGCTTCTTTCAAACAATTCTACAAATGCAGAACATGTGTATCTATAACTCTAAGGCTTTGCTCTATTGTGCTCTACCTGGAATATCCTTCTGGATCCTTCTATGCCTACCTAACACCTTTTTATTTTTCAAGAGGCCAATTCAAATATTCCTTTCCTTGTTTGGTTTTCCATGAATTTGTTGTACTGCACAAAATTACATCCTTTGCAGGGTTCCCATAGTCCATCAAAGATAACTTTTATTGCACTCTATTGGAATTGTGTGCGTAGCTAGCTGGCTTCACCACAGACCAAAGTCTGGTAGTGTAACTAGTAACAGCATTCATTACAAATCAAACATTTCATAATGTTGATATACCAAAGATAAAATAACTGAATATAACTGATTTTCAGTAATTAAATAATTAGTCTTAGCACTAATATTTACTGAGCCTTTATTATGTCCTGTGGAGAGACTGTTCTATACCCTTTATGGGTATGACAGTAGGCACTGTACAAACACTAGCTGAATTAATCTTGAATTCCCTTGGTCTTAGTATCATGCCTAATTTACCTCCTTCTACAAATATTATGTCAGTCATTTTTATAACTGACAGAAGGAGACATTGAAAGAAAATGGGTTTAGATGATGAAAACAGTACTCTAGCTATATGTCTTTAAGAAAAGTAAATTTTAGGATTGCAAAGATGGCAAGAAAGGCTGTCCAGTATTTTGCTCCACACTTTTTTTTTAAGGAATGAATTTCCCCTTTTACTTTTTTTAACATATTTTTATTGATTTCAGAGAGGAAGGAAGAGGGAGAGAGAGATAGAAACATTAATGATGAGAGAGAATCATTGATCAGTTGCCTCTTGCATACCCCCTACTGGGGATTGAGCCCACAACCCGGGCATGTGCCCCTGACCGGAATTGAACCCGGGACCCTTCAGTCCACAGGCCAACGCTCTATCCACTGAGCAACAGGCTGGGGCTCCACTCTTTTTTAAAAGCATTAAAAGGGGCATTATAAGGAATGGAAAATAGTTGAAGATACTTAGACAACAAAAAAAGCTGAGAACATTGGCTAAACTTGTAACTTAGAACCAGTATGAATAACTTGGAAGAGAAAGTGGAAGAAGCGAAATACTGTGTTAAAAAGCCATAATGAGTATTACAAAGCCACTGTTCTCAATACTGCCTGGTACTGGCACAAGAACAGACATATAGGCCAATGGAATAGAATAGAGAGCCCAGAAATCAACCCGAACCAATATGCTCAATTAATATTTGACAAAGGAGGCAAGAACATACAATGGAGTCAAGACAGTCTCTTCAATAAATGGTGTTGGGAAAATTGGACAGATACATGCAAAAAAAAATGAAACTAGACCACCAACTTACACCATACACAAAAATAAACTCAAAAAGGATAAAGGACTTAAATGTAAGACGGGAAACCATAAAAATACTAGAGGAATCCAAAGGAAACAAAATCTCAGACATATGCCGAAGCAATTTCATCACCAATACAGCTCCTAGGGCATTGGAAACTAAAGAGAAAATAAACAAATGGGACTACATCAAAATAAAAAGCTTCTGCACAGCAAAAGAAACCATCAACAAAACAACAAGAAAGCCCACTGCATGGGAGAACATATTTGCCAATGTTATCACCGATAAGGGTTTAATCTCCAACATTTATAGGGAACTCATACAACTTAACAAAAGGAAGATAAACAATCCAATCAAAAAATGGGCAAAGGACCTAAATAGACACTTTTCAAAAGAGGACATTCAGAAAGCCAAGAGACATATGAAAACATGCTCAAAGTCACTAATCATCCAAGAAATGAAAATCAAAACAACAATGAGGAACCATCTTACACCTGTCAGAATGGCTATCATCAACAAATCAACAAACAACAAGTGCTGGAGGGGATGTGGAGAAAAAGGAACACTCATGCACTGCTGGTGGGAATGCAGACTGGTGCAGCCACTATGGAAGACAGTAAGGAGTTTCCTCAAAAAGTTAACAATGGAACTCCCATTTGATACAGTGATCCCACTTCTAGGAATATATCCCAAGAAAACAGAAACTCCAATCAGAAAGGATATATGGCCAAAACCGGTTTGGCTCAGTGGATAGAGCGTTGGCCTGCGGACTGAAGGGTCCCAGGTTTGATTCCGGTCAAGGGCATGTACCTCGGTTGCAGGCACATCCCCAGTAGGAGATGTGCAGAAGGCAGCTGATCGATGTTTCTCTCTCATCGATGTTTCTAACTCTCTATCTCTCTCCCTTCCTCTCTGTAAAAAATCAATAAAATATATTTTAAAAAAAAGAAAAAAAAAGAAAGGATATATGCACCCCTATATTCATAGCAGCACAATTTACCATAGCTAAGATCTGGAAACAGCTTAAGTGCCCATCAGCAGATGAATGGATTATAAAACTGTGGTACATCTACACAATGGAATATTACGTTGCTGTAAAAAAGGAATTCTTACCATTTGCAACAGCATGGATGGACCTGGAGAGCATTATGCTAAGTGAAATAAGCCAGTCAATGAAAGAAAAATACTACATGATCTCACTCATTTATGGATAATTAAGACCATTATAACTGATGAACAAAAATAGATACAGAGGCAGAGCAACATTGAACAGACTGTCAACAGTGGGAAGGCCAGGGAGGGTTGAGGGGGTGGGTAAGAGATCAACCGAAGGACTTGTATGCATGCATATAAGCATAACCAATGGACACAAGACACTGGGGGGTATGGGAGGCCAGGGGATTGTCAAGGGGAGAAAAAAAAGGAGACATATATAATACTCTTTGTAATACTTTAAGCAATAAAACAATTTTTAAAAAGCCATAATGACTTAGACTGCCTTGCACAGCTTATTTGTCAATTTAATTACATTATCAAAATATTTTTACTTGGCATATACAAATACTGATACAATGAATTTTTAGATTATAAAAATATAATTATCAGGTCAAAACAGTAGAAAAGAGCATTGAGGAAATGATTAAGTTAGATGATATCTCAAAAACATGTAGTACTAGAAACTAAAATTCACAAAGTAGTTTAAATTCAATACTTGATTGAAAATAAATTTAAAGGAAATAAACCAAAATAAAATTGATGGCTAAGTTAGGGTAACAGAAGCCAGAATTATCTTCTTAAATATAAACCAAAAAATATTATCCTCTTGCTCAAAACCCTCAAATGGCTTCTGTCATGCTCCGAATTAAATCCAAGGCCCTTAAGAAGGTCTGTTAAACCTGTATGACCAGGACCCCCCCATTGATGTCACTGCCCTCAATTCCCACACTTCTCTTCCCAGATCACTCTGCTCCTGCACTGGCCTCCCGTGTGCTCCATGTACCTGCCACTGGGCCTCTGGCCTTTCATTCCCTGTGCAGAGGTTCTCCCCCTGGAAAATGGTTCCTCTCCTAACTCCCTCAGGCCTCGATTCTAAGGTCACCTTCTCAAGCAGGTCTTCCTGAACCTTGAAAATTACACACACACACACACACACACACACACACACTTCCCCCCATCCTGCTTTATTTTTCTTCATACCCAAAATCACAAATTTCTTTTTTTCCTTCCTTTCTAGAACACTAGCTCCACCAGACCAGATCAGGGATTTTGGCTTCACCACTATAGCAGTACATGTTACATTATAAGCTCTAAACAAATATTAGTTGGAAGAATATGTGAGTTATTTCTCCAGAGACAAAAATATAAAAACATCTTTATGGCAATGATAAGAGAAAAACTGATGAAACAATGTTATAAAATATATCTTCAACTTTTATGATAAAAACAAATATAATGCTATGCCCGGAGGTTTGGCTCAGTGGTTGAGCATTGACCTATGAATCAGGAGGTCACTGTTCAGTTCCCGGTCAGGGCACAATCCCGGGTTGTGGGCTCCATCCCCAGTGTGGGGCATGCAGGAGGCAGCCAATTGCTGATTCTCTCTTATCACTGATGTTTCCATCTCTCTCTCCCTCTCTCTTCCTCTCTAAAATCAATAAAAATATATTTTTTAAAAAAGGAATATTAACCATTCTCTGTTAAGCATGATTTTTCTGACTAGAAAAAGCATAGTCTAACCTGGCTGAGAGTTATATGCCCTGGGATATGGGAGTTAACATCAGAATGCAGTCCATCCTCATTTCCCAAGAAACTGTCTACCATTATGTAAAGATTTACAACCTCTTGGCTGAAACTATCTAATCCCAGAGGCCCTCGCCCTTTGCAACCCCCAGCCCTTATTGCCTATAACCTGGTCCTGGAGGCAGCCGCCTGCCCTCTGCAACCCCACTCAGCCCACATTGCCTGTAACCTGTAACCATTATACCTTGCCTACTTTCTGAAACACAGATTTCCTGAAGGAGTTAGAATCTAAATTGCTTGAGCCCAGCAGTGTATATGACATGCAGGAGTCACTCCATGAATTTGCTGAATTAACAAATGAAAGAAAGAGTCTAATCATTCCAGGAGTTCACTTGGAAAGGCAAGGAAAGAAAGGTAAAAACTCAAATAATATTTTAATATGTTCTCTACAATAGTAGGCCAAACAGTGACATTTGACATTTGAGTCTAAATTGGTAAAAACGGTCAAATAAGTAGCAACAAGCAGAAATGTTATCAACCAAAGAGAATCAAGAACATACCTTATTTTTAGAAAATTTATTATGGCCATGAAAATTACTTGTAACACTGCTTTTTTGGGATTAACATGATTTATAATTCACTATTGAATCCAGTTAAATATAACCTTATGTATAATTTTGCAAAATCACCATGCCAATAGTCACACAGTATAAAAATTCCATATAAAAGATCCCATTTTTTATTTTAAAAGGCATTATTCCATTATTTTCTCATTTGCCTTTCTACTGAATAGGTAAGCAACTTCAAATTGTTTTCAGAGCCAGAGTGAAAATCAAAATAAAGTGCTCTACAGCTTCAATGTAAATTTCCAAACTTAATCTAGAAACATTTCACACACCAGTTACGCGAATATAAAACTGATGTAGGACTTCTGAAAAATATGCGACAACTTGTGTTTGTAAGGACTAGTAAGAAGGGAGGGTTTTTAATGCAGGGCTCACCTGGTTTCCCCCAAGTCCATGACACGTATATAGAATTAATGGCTTGCTGCCTTGATTATTTTCTCCAACATCCAGACATAAAGGCTGACCGACGCTTTTAATCTAAAGGAAAATTTTCAAGTTATAAAAAAAATTTAAATCCATGTAGTTTATATATTTCTTCAATTGATTTCAACAAGTAGGGTAAATAAGAATAGTGTAAAAATTTCAAAAGCAAACAACCTGAAAGTATTTCAGCAATTTCCCCTGAACCACATAAATGTTGGTGGCAAGGAGTATACCAAGTAAAAAGGAACAGGAAAATACTCACATATCCAGATATAACAGGATTAAGGTCTGGCACATAGACTTCTGGATAAATATTGTTCAGGTACCATGTAAAATTTTTACATTGAAGGCGGTGCTTTATTTCGAATCTTTTTGAAAGATCACCAAATGATTTCTGGAGAAAGATAACAAGTGAAGAGAAGGCTTTATCAAAACAGCACTGGTAAAGTACTTCAAATGCTACGATTAGTATTTATCTTTAGGTTTTAAAAAAATTTCTGGGCTAAATTCAAGATAAAATTTAATTGCATTCATAATTCATTCATGCAACAAGTATTCCCACTTGCTCATTTCTGGCTTCAAAGAGAATCAGGTGCCACCATGGTGCTGGTCAAGTGTTATTTGACTCTTCCTATGTACCACAAATCTCCCCATGGGACAAAGATCTCTAGCAAAATGCCATGAGCAAAGAAATGGTAGTGGGAGCATTCAAAATTGATCCCCAAAATGATCTGTAAAGTGAGGTGTGAGAAACCAGGTATAGAGAAAGTACCAAACATAATGTAATTTATACCTTTCCTCTAGTCAAGATCACACACACAAAATTTTTTTCTAGCTTTATGGGTGTAGCTTATTCCTAACAATAGCCCTCATAATATTCTAGCAATAACAGTATATTAATAGAAAAAGGCAATGGCATTTTATTTAAGGAACTAAACAAACAACTTTTTTAAAAAGCACTATTAAACTGAAAAGGAATTTGGTCTGTAGGAAAATTTTTAAAGAACATTATATTATCTTTGGTACCTAAATATATGAAAAGGTAAATTCTCAAGCTAGTCAGTTCAACTACAGAAAATATTTTCCTTACCAGCTTCAAAGTCTTGAACCCAGGTGTTTTAGCAAAAAGTGTAAAACTCTACAAAGGACTTTTGGCTAACTTATGCATTTTACAAGCAGATCTATTTGCCCTGTGTTAAAAAAAAAACAAGGGGTGGGGGGATTGTTGGCTCACACTCCTCTTTATGGGTGAGCATAAGCTGTATTTAGCACCTACTTGCCTGCTTAGCCAAGTACCCTTGTGCAGTATACAATCTGCCCAATTTGTCTTGGTTGCCTCCAGTAAAAAGATAGCAATCTAACCCAGCAGGGCTCTGACTTTGCATCCTTCTGACATATTACATGGAGACAATGGAGGCCAAAGAAAAAGTGAATATAAGTAACCATATCTTTATGACAGTCAACATGTTGATGCCCTTTAAACCCAGTATACAACCCCTTCCCCACAAATCAGCACTGATTCTTATAAAGAATTAGGTGCCCCTTAGCCAATGTGCTCAGTGGTTGAGCATCGACCCATGCACCAGAAAGTCGCCAGTTTGAATCCGGGTCAGGCACATGCCCAGGTTGCTAATTCAATCCCTGGGAGGCAGCGATCAATGATTCTCTCTCCTCAATGATGTTTCTATCCCTTTCTCCCTCTCCCTTCTTCTCTCTAAATCAATTAAAACATAACTAAAAAAAAAAAAAAAAAAAAAAAAGTTGGGTGCCATTCACTGATGCATGTTCTTAAATTGTCCAGTTCATTTACCACATCCAATATGAAACCTATTGGAACTCAGTTTTCATGTATTGGACACCATGATTCTGCAGCGCTTTTATCTATGGCAGGTCAATAACAGTAGCATTTGTTAGCACTTATTTCTTTCACAACTACTCTGGGAGAGAGGCAAGTATTTCCTCTCTTAAAACACGGAAGGACAGAGAAGAGAATTGGTTGAGCACACATTCCACATCCAGCCAAGCTCTTAACCAACTTATGAAGTGCCATCCCTAATTACAGTTTCAAAAGGGCTTTGCCAAGGTGGTCCCTCCAGTGTGTAGTGGAACCAGAACTTGGGGGGAAAAAAGGCTTTGATACTCCTGGCTTATTCTCTGGCCACATTCTGACAATGTCTCTATCTCCAGTTCAAAAAGCCACTTAGCACATTGATTTAGGTGTTAATCACATCACCTAAGACCAGTTAAAAACAATTCCACTTAATTTTTTCCTTGAGAAAAATTTTTAACCAAGGCAGTTACAAAACTAAATGGCTTCCAATATTAAAAAGGATATGATCACCCAGATGGTGTGGCTCAGTGTTTGAGTGTCAGCCTATGAACCAGGAGGTCACAGTTCGATTCCAGTCAGGGCAACCTGCCCAGGTTGTGGGCTTGATCTCCAGTAGAGGATCATGCAGGAGGCTGCTGATCAATGATTCTTTCTCATCATTGATGTTAGTATCTCTCTCTCTCCTTCTCCCTTCCTCTCTGAAATCAATATTTTTTTTCCAAAAGGATATAATCAAGGAGAATGCATAAATTTTTAAAAAGCAGTTTACTCAATTTTCCTTAAAAAAAAATTGAACTGGCATCATAAGTTATATATTTTAAGAGTTAAAAAAGCCAGCTTCAAAAACAGCCTTTTAAAATATTCCATATTTGAATTGATTCAAATAAGTAAAAGAACATGGGAACTGGGGAGTGGATTGTTATTGTAATTTAATTACTTAGCTCTAACTTACTTGTTTAACAATTTTTGCTGCATCTGTGTTTCTCCTATAAAATATTTCCTTGTATTCATCCATCCAGACTTCTGCAAGGCGAACTTGGTTGCGAGCAATCACCTGAGTGCCTTTTGGAAAGGTATGAGGGCTTTTGCTGCGAAAAACATGTCCAACAACAGAGCAAGGCATAATCTCCAACTGCCCACCACATTGCCATACCTGATAATTAATGATATTTGTTTAAATTTACAGTATTTTAGGAAAATCAAAGTGTTGCTTTTAAGTTCACCTATAAGATATTATTAAAAGCAAAATATAGAAGAATTTTAGCACAACTTCACAAATAGTCTCTGCCCCATCAGTTCAGCTTAAGTTCTTAAATATAAAGAGCAATTTTATTAAATGGTATACTAAAGTCAACCAAAGCATATTTTCAGAAATTTAACATAATAATTATTTCAGATCTCTTATAAAAATGAAACCCAGAATTTATTTTTTGCAAACAATTATTCAAGCTCTAATATACACAGAAGACCAAAGCCTTTTCTGCATTTGACTTCTGTCTTCTTATACAACTTATATGGTTACTCTCTTCTAGTGACCTTGGAGTAAATGAACCCACACTCCATTATCCCTTACATATCCAATTTTTAGTGAAGACAACAATTCTGAACAGTCATTATTACCAAAGTAAAATCTATTAAACTTATAAATAACTGCTCATTTATAAAAAAAAAAAAACAAAAACTCATATGTATGTAGAGATAGTAAAAAAAAAAAATCCTTGCATTAAACTCTAAATAAAATGATAAATCATTAAATCAATACCTATCCACTTAAATATCTTGACAATTAGTTCTGCCATAAATAATCACTAAGCAAAAAATCTAAAATAATGTTTAATAGTATGAGCTAGTATTAGGGCAAGAGATCAAATTTTTTTTTCTCTCTTTTAAACAAATGAGAAAACTAAGTGATATGTTCAATTCAACAAACTGTGCTTGAGATCTAACATGTGTGAAGGGTTGGGAATACTGAAATGAATAAAACAAGACCCCTGCCCTTCAGCAGTTCATACTTGGCTAAGATCATCACTGCCATTATGTGATAGATGGAGTCAGAGCCAAAACTTAAATCTTCTAACTCCTAGGTTCAGTTATTTTTCCACTACATTCCAATGTAGGGGATAAAAATGAATGACAAAGTCATTGCAGAAAATGAATTCATGAAATCAAATAAGTACATATGGAGACCATCCAAAGCCTTTGTTTTGTTTCTCATATTAACTTTTCATATGTTTAGGGATGGGGATCTCATTTAATCCAAAAAGTTAAATTCAATGTCCTTTAAAATTATACATAAATGTTTCTCCATTCTGACTCCCTTGAGAATCAACTTATTTCCTGAAGCACTAGATTTAATTATATTTATCTTGGCTGGAATTCAGTAGCTACAAGTGCATTAATTGGTGTCATTGCCTGGACACAGGCATTTAACTGATTCCTCCTGTTACATTGGCAGCAATGAATAAATATATTAAGTTATATTTTTAAAATCATTTTGCACAGTTTATTTTATTTATTTTTTATTGATTTCAGAGAGGAAGGGAGAGGGAAAGATAGATAGAAACATCAATGATGAGAGAGAATCATTGATTGGCTGCCTCCTGCACATCCCACAGTGGGAATCAAGCCCAAAACCCAGGCATGTGCCCTTGGCCAGAATCAAACCTGGGACCCTTCAATCCGCAGGCCGACCAACCTTCTAACCATTGAGCCAAACCGGCTAGGGCTTAAGTTACATTTTTAAAGGAAATATCCTATTCTAAAATTTCTAGCAATTAAATTTTAGAAAGCACAAAAAGTAAAGACTACATATATCCATGGTAATCAGCCTATTAGAACAAACTATGGATTTCACTGTTTTATAGGTATGCTATGTTTATAAACTTACTCTGAAAGACATTTCTATATTTTCACCTCCCCAGATTTCCATTTCTTCATCATAAGTCCCAATATATTCAAAGTATTCTTTTGATATGGAAAAAAGGCCTCCTGCAAAAGTGGGTGTTCTGAAAAATAATCCATTGTCAAACTGTATTATAAAAGTCAAATAAGAAAAAAGAAATCTTTAAAGAACAACTGAATCAAATCCATAAACATATTAAAGAGAGATTCTAATTCCAAAGCTCTTAGATAGATTAACAAAAACTGAAAATGCTTTCCTCAAAGTCAAGTTGGGGAGAGGGTATTTTAAGTATCCTTTCTCATGTAGTAAAATTATTAAGTATCTTCTAACCAAGCTTAAAGATTCTTAAGTAATAATTACAAAGAAGGCATACGAGCTCACCTAATGCTAATTCTTACTCACTAAAATCATGGGTAAGTACATAAATAAATGAATTCTCTATTCCCTACATATACAATGGATGTGCTCTTTATTTTGTTAGGGTGAGTTATCTTGGAGGCAATTATGATAAAAAGCAAAGCCTGCATACATATTCAAATAATTGAAATAGACATGTATCCATTTATACAGATATATGACTTTGTATACCCTCAACTTACTTAATTGGGTAGGTTTCATCTTTCCTTCTTTGCCTCTCATGATCAGGAAGTGCTTCCCAGCCAAATGAAAGGCTCCAGTCAAAATTTCCACGGTTATGGTTACTTCCATAAGGAGAAGGTTTGTTGAATTCAAATGTGTTCATATCTATGGATGCAATATCTGGACTCACAACCGCAGTGTAGTTCTCAGCTATTCTGGCCAACAAAGGTTCTAACCAACCATAAAAGCACTCACCTGAAAGGAATACAATTGTAATTAATTCAATGAAATCTGTTTTTTTTGTTTTTTGCTTTTGTTTTTGGGAAGTGGGTTTACAGAGAAATGAGAACAAAGTCATTTGTATTTTGAACATTTTTATAGGGGGAGGTTTCTTAAAGTTTTCTTGTGAAGAGATCAAGGTAGGATTTAAAAAGTAAACAAGATTCAGCATCATTGGGAAAATTTTCCTACAGATGATGTTCCATTTTATAACTTAGAAAAGGAGCAAAATGATACCAGTGTATTTAAGTTTCAGATGAGGTATTTCTCTTTCTAATGGACCATGAATTTAAGAAAGTTTTTTGCTGATCCATACCATCTAGCCCCAAATGTATTCTGACTTACTTAAACTGGTCTTCCCTGAGTAAAATGGAGTAATCAAAATTTTCATTCCTCTAACTGGCTCTGAGAAGAAAGTAAGTCAAGGAGTCAGAATATTATGATTTTAGCAGTTGGAGAAGAAGGAACATTCAAGCCTATCCCAGCCTTAATGGAAGGTGGGGCAAAGGAATGCTGTGAAAGGTCTGGGCCCTCATCATAAGCCAGGCTAGCTCACAAAACACAGAGAGTTCAGGAGATGCCGACATGTACAGTCCTATAGAGGGCTCCCAACAAGGGCAGTTGGACAGCCATGGTTCAGGAGGAACTTCAAACACATTCGCCCAGAGGGGAAGAAGGTCCAGTCTGACATTATTATCATTTGGGGCCAAGAGAGGGAAGACTGGAGGATGAACCATTTCCTTTTAAAATCACCTCTCTTGGATTACCCTAGACCTCTCTTCATTTTTAAGTGGCTGGAATTAAGAGAATACTGGATGTGTTAGCTCTAAAGAGACTCCCAACAAATCCAAAAGCCCCTCTGTGACCATTAGTGTAAGCTCACTACCATTTGCTGGGTCAAACACAACCAAGGACTAGCAAATTCAGAGCTAAATACTCATACAAAAAGTAATACCCACTATAGCAAACTTAGAGCTGAAGGGACAAAATGACATTTCAGTAATACCTAATGTGTACATTAAACATTGACTCTAAAGATATTTTGCAGATTTATTTAAAACTAGAGGCCTGGTGCACAAATGCATGCACAGGTTGGGTCCCTCGACCTGGAGGCGATCAGGCTGATCGGGGCCAATGGGGGCCGGCTGGCCAGGGAGGGACCATGGGAGGTTGGTTGGCTAGCCAGAGAGGGACCACAGGAAGGCTCCAGGTTGTGTCCAGCCCTCTTGCCCAGTCCCAATGGCCAGACCCTAGCAGCAAGTTAACCTACCAATTGGAGCATCTGCCCCTTGGTGGTCAGTGCGTGTCATAGCAACGGTCGACCGATTGGTCGGACACTTAGCATATTACACTTTTATTATATAGAATCATTCACACACACACACACAACACCAAAAGAAACAAAACCACCAAAAAAAAAAAAAACCCACACATACACATAAAAATCAAAGGAAAAAAACCGGCAACAACTGACAATGTTCATGGAAGAGATACCAGAAATTGGAAGGGGAACCCGTAACTTGGTACAAGAAGGAGTGTGTGAATCCTCGGGGGAGGAAGCGTGGGGTGTGGTGGGGGGGGAGAAGAATTGAAATATACAACTTAAAAGTGTTAGTATAGGAACAAAGTTTATGATAGGGTTGACTACATGTAAACAAAAAAACTTTCACTCATCTAAAATTATAGGAATCATCTGGCATCTGGCCAGTGTGGCTCAGTGATTGATGTTTTGATTACCAGTCAGGGCACATGCCTGGGTTGCAGGCTTGATCCCCAGTAGGGGGCATGCAAGAGACAGCTGATCAGATCAATGATTTTCTCTCATTATTCATGTTGTTTTTTTCTCTCTCTCTCCCTCTCCCTTCCTCTCTGAAATCAATAAAAATATTTTTTAATTATAGGAATCAAGAATAATAAGGATAAAAACACTTTAAAAAAAATAGAACAAGCATCAGAAAAAGATCCCAAGCAGGGATAACTTGCTGGGGAAGCTGGCCACTGTAAGACATTAAAGTTGAAGAGCTTTAATTGCAAAGAAGGCAAGAAATTTGCATAAGTGAAAGGAAGTCCCTGTGTACTAAAGCTATAATCTTCTTGGGCTGTCAATGCTATAATCACCAGTTGAAAATGATGTTAAAGAAAATGCAATTAGGCATTTAAAGAAAAGGCTTCCTTACCTTTTAAATTAGGGGGTAGGGGAAGGAAAAATGTTACAACCATGTCTACACATATATACTTACAGTGAGCATCTAAAAATGTGAGCGTTTCAGCTGTTGCTACTGTTGCTCCTAGCAACCGTGCAGTGATCAGACCTTTTCTCTCTCTTTGTCTGACTATTTTTACTATAGGAAATTGTTTTATATATTCCTCTAGTTTATCATGTAAGTACTCTGTAAAAAAAAATAAAACCAGGATTAACTCTTAAGGTTATTTTCATATATGACACATGAAAGTTAATGAAGAAACCACATTCATAATCGTAACAGTTACACACATTTCTCCATTAAGATGAAAATTAGCCCTGACCAGTTTGGCTCAGTGGATAGAGCGTCGGCTTGTGGACTGAAGGGTCCCGGGTTCGATTCCGGTCAAGGGCATGTACGTTGTTTGCGGGCACATCCCCAGTAGGAGGCGTGCAGGAGGCAGCTGATCGATGTTTCTCGCTCATCGATGTTTCTAACTCTCTATCCCTCTCCCTTCCTCTCTGTAAAAAATCAATAAAATATATTTTTTTAAAAAAGATAAAAATTATATCTTTAACTCTTCATTGAAAAAAAACTACACATGTAAATCTGGACTATTGTAACATATAGCATTATAACATATTAGAGGCCTGGTGCACGAAATTCATGCACTGGGGGGCGGGCGGGGGGGGGGGGGGCGTGTGTCCCTCAGCCTGGCCTGTGCCCTCTCGCAGTCTGAGAGCCCTCACCAGTCCTGAGCCTGGCTTCTGGCTGAGCGGACCTCCCCCTGTGGGACTGCACTAACCACCAGAGGGCAGCTCCTGCATTGAGTGTCTGCTACTCATTCCACCATTTGGTCTATTTGCATATTAGCCTTTTATTATATAGGATTAGAGGCCTGGTGCGCGAAATTCATGCACTGTGGGGGGGGGGGAGGGTCCCCTCAGCCTGGCCTGCGCCCTCTCGCAGTCTGGGAGCCCTCACCAGTCCTGAGCCTGGCTTCTGGCTGAGCGGACCTCCCCCTGTGGAAATGCACTGGCCACCAGAGGGCAGCTCCTGCATTGAGTGTCTGCCAATCATTCCACCATTTGGTCTATTTATATATTAGCCTTTTATTATATATATATATAGGATTCTATATATGCCATGTTAATACTTTGGGGCAAAATGAAAGACTTTAAATGGAGTGGACCCAGGAGTCAAGAAAATGCATTTGGAGATCTGAGAAAATTAACTAAGGAAGTAAAGAAACTAAATTTGGGCAACAAAAGATCTGATGCTTTTTAAAATTATTATTTAATTTGGAAATGTGAAGAAAAATGTCAAGTATCAAAAGGATTCTCTGATACTTAGACAGTGATCAAAATAATTTAAGACCAAAATGTTGAGCAAAAGTAAGACAGTCCAGCCCGGCCGGTGTGGCTCAGTGGATTGAGTGTCCTCCCACACACCAAAAAGTTGCTGGTTCAATTCCTGGTCAGGGCATACACCTGGGTTGTGGGCTCAATTCCCAGTAGAGGGCTTGCAGGAGGCAGCCATTGATGTTTCTATCTTCTCTCCCTCTACCTTCCTCTCTCTAAAAAAAATCAATAAAAACATAGTTCTTTTTTAAAGTAAGAAAGTTCAAGGCTATAGCAGTTTGGGAATATTTCTGCAGTCAGCAGAAAAATTTCAAGTTTTAGAGTCTCCTGACAGAATTTTTTCTGATTAAAATATGGAATAAGGGAACATGTGAATCAAGAATGAAGCTAAAAACAAGCAAAATTTTAGTAACAGATGTATCATTTGAGATATTAAGTGTTTCAATTTGGATGAGAATGAGACATTATAAGCAAGATTTAAGATAGTAGGTAAAAGAAAACACATTAATCAGGTCAGTCAAGTATTCATATTTTTAAACAATTTCTTGTTGACTATACAATGCAGTCCTTCCAGTGGGCTTCTTGGGCCCATAGGATAGCCTCAAAAAGATTAGGGGAGCCTGGATGGCATGGCTCACTGGCTGAGCGTCGACCTATGAACCAGGAAGTTACGGTTCGATTCCAAATTGGGGCATATGCCCAGGTTGTGGGCTCTATCTCCTGTGTGGGGCATGCAGGAAACAGCTGATCAATGATTCTCTCTCATCATTGATGTTTCTATCTATCTCTCTCTCCCTCTCCCTTCCTCTCTGAAGTCAATAAAAATTTTAAAAAAGATTAGGGAATATTGAAAACATAAATAAATGTCCTATTGTAGATATTTGCTTCTGCCAGATTTCAGAAGCAAATGTAGATGGCTTCATCTATGATTATATATGTTTTTTTCAGTGCTTCAGTGGTAAAGATAAGAGAGCTGCTTATTGAAAACAAACATTCATAAAAGAAGTGAGAGTCTAGGAACAATTTTAGTAGAAAAATAAATCTAAACATTGTTGTCTCAGAGTAATAGATTAACTTTTAAACACCTTCTAAGTTTCTCAGAATTAATTTTCTGAGAGACAAGCAAGATTGCAATTTTTCTTAAAAATATAATTACTGCTTTAATCATAGACTTTTAAAATAGAAACATCTGAAAGGTATTAATGTGGATTTTTTAAAAACTGGAGTCACTATAGATTCCATAAAAAAAAAGTCCTAACATTGTTTGAATTTTTAAAAAAATTATTTGCCCACACCTTCTAAACTTCCTGTAAATTCTTATCCGGCCCCTAAATTTAGTCCCCATCTACACCCACTTTTTGTGAGGCTAAGAGCACAAAGCTATAAGATCAGACCTCCTGGGTTCAATTTATAGCACCATTACTTTTAACTCTGTGACCGCGGGCAAGTTATTTCACCTTTTTGTAACTTAGTTTTTTTATCTCTAAGATGGGGATGATAGGATTTACCCTCACAAAAGATTGTTGGAAGGATAAAATGTGAGGTTACTGTACAACTAAAGCATTTAAGAGAGGGCCTAGCACAGGGCCTATATTCTGTAAATGTTGATTATCTTTTGTTTTGCTATCATTGATATTTAACTAAAGGGTGTCCCAAAATTCACACAAGATTTGAATTTTACACCATTTGTGCTATAAAGTGTTGCCAACGAAAAAAAAAAAGATAGCGTGACAGCTGACAGTTCAGGGTTATTAAAAATGGAGTGCTATACGAAAGAACATGTTTTTATAGTTGAGCAATATTTTAAAAATAATGAAGGTTTGGCAGCTACAGTTCGCAATTTTCGTACAAAATATGGTCGGAACAGTGATTTAACTTCATCAACTGTGAAGAGATTAATTAAAAAATTTAGGGAGACTGGATCAATTAGTGATCTTAAACACTCTGGCCATCCTTCAACAAGAAGTTCAACACAAAACATCGAAGCAGTTCGTGAGAGTGTTGCTGAGAGTCCAGGGACATCAATTCAGCACCGTGGTCAAGAACTGGACATTTTAAGAAGCTCTCTACAGTGTATTCTCATGAAAGGTTTGCATCTTCATGCTTACAAAGTTCAATTGACTCAAGAACTGAAGCCTACTGACCACGCACAGCAAATAGAGTTCGTTGAATGGATTATGGAACAACAACAAGTGGATGCTGATTTTTCAAACAAAATCATCTTCAGCAATGAGGCTCATTTTCATCTTGATGGCTTAATCGACAAAATTGTCGCATTTGGGGCTCAGAAAATCCACGAGTGATTGTTGAGAAACAAATGCATCCACAACGTGTCACTGTTTGGTGCAGATTTTGGGCTGAAGGAATCATCGGACCATTCTTCTTCGAAAATGGGGCTGCTCAGGCAATAACAGTTAATGGTGCTCGCTATCACAACATGATAAAATTTCAACAAGAGTGCGTATGTGCCAGCAAAGCCGTGGAGGCCATTTACCCGATATGCTATTCCATACATAACCCTTTACTGTATACTTTATGAATCAGTAAAAAAAAATTACAATTTTTAATTATAAACCTGTGTTTTCTATCAAAATTACTTCTTGCGTGAATTTTGGGACACCCTTTACATCTGTTATTTGATTATGGCACACTTATGCTGCTTTTCCCTAAGCCAGATGAAATCAGGGATTGTGGTTTCTACTTCACAAGCTAGTTACAGCAAGTAGGGACACATTTTTCCACAGTGGGTATTTACTAGACAGCTCTGACTCGATAAGACGAATTATATTAATATGCAAAGATAGCCTTTGCCAAGAAAACCCAAATCTATCCTTAATTGCTATAGAGAATTATAAAAATATTCACACCCTTTTGATCAAGCAATTCTACTTCTAACTTATCTGAAGATATAATTCAAAAGAAGAAAAACAGAAGTGCAAGGATATTTATTACAGTGTAATATAGAATAACAATGAGGTGAATAAAGGTGAATGGTTACATAAAATGCATCTAGTCCATAACTGTCATTAAAAATAAAATTTTGAAGGCAAAATAAATGAGCTAATAATGTTCTGTGACATGTCTAATTTCAAAACTGGATTTATGACATAGGTATAATTAGATAAACGTTCTATAGTAGATAATGATTAAAAGAGGAAAAGATTAAAATAATTGAAACAGGAAGATTATGAATAGATGTCACTTTTCATTTTTATTTCCTTTACTTCTATTAATGTTCTTTGTGCAATTAAATAATAAAGTTTCCTTCAACTGAAGACTTTTGAGAAGTAGCCTTACTGTTCCCCTATTGCTTCACTACTTGAAAAATAAAGCAAAATAAGAATTATCTGTGAATCAAGTTCAAGAAACCAAAGAGGGAAAGATTTCTAAGATAAGTGGTTGTTGTTTTTTAAAGCTAAAACATATGAAGTATGCAGAAGTTAATCAGATGTCACTTTAAACTCTATGGGCTGCAGTCCAAACTGCAAGGATAAGAAGAATTCAGAACAGATCAAGCAGTAAATAAATTAGTTGATTACAATTGAGTGGTAAAGTAGCCTGGGTAAGAGGATTAAAGATTCAAATCAGAGATCTGCATGAAGTGCTTAACTGACTTGAATTATAAAACTTCCGCATTTGGCCCAACCGGTATGTCTCAGTGGTGGAGCATCAACCTATGAACCAGGAGGTCATGGTTCAATTCCCAGTCAGAACACCTGCCTGGGGTTGTGGGCTCGATCACCAGGGAATATGTAGGTAGCAGCTGTTTGATGTTTCAATCTCTCCCTTCTCCTTCTCCTTTCCTATCTCTCTAAAATCAATAAAAATGTATTTTATAAAAACTTTGCCATCTGGTAAATATGTCTCACATCCAAGCAAAAAATCCCCAGGTGATAAGCAACCTGATTCCACATAGATGTTAATGTAAATTGAGAACATAACTTCAATTCACTGAGATTTTGTTTTGAAACCACAGGAGTGTTTAGAACAGTGGTTCCTAACGTGGGGCACACACTCCACAGGGGTGTGTTTGATTTTTAAGGGAGGCAATTCTAGAATGAGTTATTAACAGTGAATCTCTTGCATTTCTTATGGTTCTAGGGGCCTCATCTACAGTATATAAATATATATTGTGATATATTTATGCATTTCAGTTTTCTATTATGTTTTGAAACTTTTTTTTTAAGTTGCTAAATTTTATTTTTATTTATTTATATTTTTTATTGCTTAAAGTAATACAAAGGGTATTACATATGTGTCCATTTCCCCCCCCCCCCCCCCGCCCTAGACAGTCCCCTAGCCTCCCCTATCCCCCAGTGTCTTATGTCCATTTGGCTATTTTTTCATATACTTCATGTTACTTTTTTAACAATTTCTTAGTGATTTCTTCCTTAGTACTTCAACTGCCCTTTTGCTCTTTTATTTTTCTCTTTCATGGATGCCATATTCTTTGGAAGCTTGTTTAGACCAAGTTAATGGCATTTAAGGTTTCCTCCACGTGAATAGTTCATTTTTTGAATATTCGATAATAATAAAAGCGTACTATGCTAATTAACCGAACGTCTTTCTGGACGTCCTTCCAGATGAAGCTGTTGTGGCGGGGGCTGAGGCAGAGGCGGCCACCACAGCCAAACCCCTTGCATGAATTTTGTGCATCAGGCCTCTAGTAAGAATTATATGTCGGGGGGGGGGCAGGGGGGGAGCATCAGGATTATATAGATGCTTAGGTGGGGCATGGCAGAAAAAAGGTTGGAACCACTGGTTTAGAATTATATGTAAAAATTATTAAATAAGTAATTGTATATTAGAAATAAATAGGTTAATAATTTATGTTTTATTCACTTATTACCATTTCTGAAGTCTTGGTACAGCTTATAATTGATAACATGTCACTTAATCTGCAGTATCTTTTTTTTTCTTCTCATGACACATAAAGGAATGGTTTATCTTACCACAGATATTGCTTTGGATTTGATGAAAGAATACCAACCCCATTTTACAGATGAGTAAACAGCTAATTAGTGTTGGAGCTGGAAGTTGTCCTTAAAGAATCTGGTTCCAAACTATGATTCATTCAAGAATAAATGTCGTAATCATTGAAACAATCTATATCTGTTTGGTATTTAAAATGCTTGTAATGTCTGAAAATTTAGCAAATTAGAGTATTTGTCGAATTAGCCTTGCAATTCCAATTTAAAATGTATAATTTAGTAAGTGCCTCTTGACTTTAATTTTAAGTAGCTATGTATTAAAGAATGTGGCTAACTTTGCAAACAATATTGAAAAATTTAAGAACCAAACTAAAACAGGATGTGATAACTCAGTAATTTTTAACTACTTATTTATATTAATTACATTTATTTATATTAATTCATCTAATTTTCAAAACAACCCTAAGAATTATATACTATTTATGTACTTCCTCAATTATAAACTGCACAATTGAATTCTTCTTATAATCAATAGCATCTTAGTTTAATTGGCTATGAGAGCTTCTTAAACTAGTGGTATATAAACTATGGTATATTACATATCATACAATAAACTTGATGAGATATGGCATTTTTTCCACTTTACAGATAATGAAACTAAAGCATTGGGAGTAAGGGGAAAAGAGGGTTAAATAACTTTCCCAAGTCACATAGCTGGTTAGGACCAGAGCTGGGATTCACACCAAGGAAGTCTGACACCAGGCTCAAGTCTGTGCTCTTAATGACTATTCCTTACAATAAGTGTTACATTTCAGACTACAAAGTTATGAACAATGGTGTTTTATACATTTCTGAACTGCAAAATATTAGAATATGGATTCTACTTTCATCCACCATATATAGCACCCAAACTATTATATTCAAGTTCTGAAATGGCATCTGAGAGTACAATATAACTCAATAGACATTGGACAACACCATATGGATTTACTTGGGAAACAACCTAATTTGCATATGCTTTCTTACCAGCTACACTAGCATCATCCACCAAAATGATTTCCTTCAGCAGTATGGCAGGCGTAGAATAGAGCACACTGTGGACAGTTCTAAGCAGCGTGGACCATGCTTCATTATGAAAAACTATTATGACACTGGTGGTAGGCAGGGGAGGACAGCGCTTAAATTTTTGTTCAATACATCTAGAAAAAGTCAAAGTAGAAGAACAATTATGAATTTTATTACTTTATATCATAGCTATGCCATTACCAAAATTATTATCTAACCTTTATCACTATAGAAATGGTAGTGAATAGTTTTTTGTGACTTTTTACTATGTAAGATAATCTTAATGCTGTATAAACATAAGTAGAGCAAAACAAAATGCTTTACAAGACCTAGATCATGGCCACTCATATGTATTGCATGTCAAAGATGAGAACATGCTATTGTAAACTTTTTCAACAGTATAATTTTACATAAAAATAACATTTTCAATAAGGAAAATAACCGACAAGTGAGACCACCTATAAAAATGACAAATACTTGGAATTAGTCAAATAAAAATCAAGTTTTTCTCCTTCCTTGTGGAAATCATACATTTTTCTTATTTGTAATTTTTAAAACTGCAAATTAATTAAATATTCATATATGTACAGATTATCTTAAATCAGATACTTTCCTAAGTATGTAATATTTTCCAAGTTTATTTAATCAATTTACTTAATCTATATTTGAACCAATAGGGGGAAAATAGCGTACTACATAGCTATGCATGATTTTCATTATTCAGCAAAGATTTTGCTCCAATAATCCAATCTATTGTTTAATTAAATGAGACAAGGTACTTTAAATATTCTTAAAAATACATTTATAAATTTAAAATAAAAGTCCTAAATCCATGTTATTAGTCCTGTGCTCTGTTACCACATGAAACATCAATAGGCACAAGGAGAGCAACACTAGTAATTTTTGACAGGTTAATGGCACTGTGCTACCCATTAGCTATAAACAAGTTATAAATTGATTCATTTTTATAACAATGTCTTCCTCTGTGAAAATTGTCTTCATATGAAGCACTGGGGTGTGGGAGGACCTGTACAGCCTCCAGTCCCCTGGCCTATTGCATTGAGGTGAAGATCAAATGAAATAACATGCAGGAGAGGGCTTCAAAACATTGTAAAATCAAACATAGTGAACCTAGAACATATGGAAAAGATAAATAAATAAGTTTATCTTTAAGTTCACTTAAAAACCATAAGTGGTTGTATAATTTCAGACAACAGAGTACAAAAGTCTCCCACACAGTCAAAAGGCACTGTAAGTACAGTGTGTGAACAAGTGCTGGTCAAACACAAAGAAAAGGAAGTAAATCATTCACTCATGGAGATAAGGGCCCAGAGCACTTTAGTCCCTTTGCCAGGGCCAATGGGGAAACCAGAGCCTCCAGTATGGTACGGGAGGCCTGGGACTGCCACCCTGGGAAAAGATATCCTACAAACTCTCATTAACCACTTTTATATCCGGGCCTCAATATGTATGTGTCTTAGATTCTTTTCTAAGAGGAGGTCTTTAGGGTAGAATATTTGTAGTGATAAAAAAAAAAAAATTAGACTGGGAATAAAGTATTGAGAGGGTATCAACACCACCGGATAGAAAAAATAGAGGAATTGACTGAGTGAAAGTGATTTTACTCTCTAGTGCATTTGTTATTTCAAAGTGTAATATACATATATCGTCAGAGCAAATAATCACATTCATCCTCATTGATAGATGTAAACAAGTTATTTATTCTAAATTGAATTTTGGATAAACTACTAATTAAAAATAACATCCAAACATAAACTACCTCATCCTATATGGTACTCTTAATTACACAGAAACAAATAACTAAATATAAGCTTGTATCTTCAGACATAAAGGTTTATAAGCTAACAAACTATAAGTAAAAATTATGAAAAACTCCATATTTTCTTTTTTTTAACAAAAAAAAGAAACCTTATGATTTCCTGTCTTATAAGCATTTTGGGGAGAGATTTGCAAGATTTTAAAAAATGTTTCCCTACATTTATTTGCCATGTGACTAACTAATGTAATATTAATCAAGAATTACAAAAAGGTCTTGAAGATTTAAAGTATAAATTTTTTACAAAAACTCACACTAATAAAATGTTATCATTTTAATCTTACAATGCTTTCCCTTGGTTTAATCGAGGCTTTATTTGCTTAACTGATAACCACTAATATCAAATAAAAGTGTCATGTCATATCATTAATGCAAGTGGTAATGAAATTTTATATTACTTCATAAACCTCATTTATTTGGAAACAATTAGCATGTTAAACTTATGCTTTAAAAACTGTTTCACATGTCATTTAAAGTAGTGAAATTAAAATAACTTGCCAAAGTGACTGCATATTTCTAATCAAGCCTTTTGAAAGATTTGGCAAATAGAAAAGTGCTCAATCAGTCACATCTGGTTTTGGGAGAAACTAGACCTATATTTCTAATGAGCAAAGAAAAGATTACGAATTCTTCAGAAAATGTGTTCCTTGCAGATAGAGGTTAAATTTAAAGTAGCAAATTATTAAGTCTTCACCAGCTCTTCACAGTCATAGGTACCCATGCCTATCCAAAAAAAAAAAAAGGTTCTTTACGTGCTTAGTTATTTCCCACTTACTTAATGATGAACATTATTGAATATTACTGTAATTTTTAAATGTTATATTGGGGGGAAAAGTTTATCTTGAGCTGGCATTGATTATCATGTTAAAGAATAAAAAGTAGGTTTCTTCATTTGTGATGTGAATTGATTTTCAGTCAAGACCTTTCTCCAGATCAGTGAAGTGCAATACTACGTTTTAACTTAACATAACAAAACTGTGCCTTGTTATAACAGCTAAAATATTTGTTAGACATTCATTTATTTCTTTACACATTTATTTAATATTGATGAGCAACCCAACTTTGAATCACACAGATTATAATACAGTGACAGTCCTGGATGGTGTGGCTTAGTTGGTTGGGCATCATCCCATGCACTAAAAGATGACTGGTTTGATTCCCAGTCAAGGCACATACCCAGGCTGTGGGTTTGATCCCCAGTGAGGTAAGTTCAGGAGGCAATTGATTGATGTTTCTCTCATGCATATCTCTCTCTCCTCTCTCTCTCTCTCTCTCTCTCTCTCTCTCTCTCTCTCTCTCTCTCTCTCTCTCTCTCAAAAACATATCCTTGGGTGAGGATTTTAAAAATTAAAATAAAAATAATACAGCAACAGAAATTTAATCTACACAACTTCAACATTAAGGAACTCATAGTTGGAGCAGGTATTTATGATCAGATCATAAATCTAGAAAAATATGAATGAAGCAATAGACCTAAGTCCTTTTCTTTAGGTTCACTTCCAAATATATTTTTATTATAACCAGAAAGCAAAATATGTAGCACTGCTTGCTTACAGTTTTCTGTCTTACAACTTTAACAAATCTATAGATGGTTTGAAAGCGCTAGAAATTCATTTTAGCTATTTCAGTTCAAACAGCATTTGACCACTACCTCAAAGATAACAAAATGGTTCAATAACTAAGGACAAACAGTATAAAGGAAGCTGGAGGAAAACTTAATCAAAATACTATATACTTGAAATAAGCATGTAAGTAAAGTGACAATAAAAAGCAATCTTGACTTCTCAGAAGCTGGAGGGAAACAGATCTATAATACCAGGACTTATTCAACAAAACCATAGAGAAAAGAATCATAGTTGAATTACTAATTATAACAATATTGTCCCTTAAAAGACAGGTCATAAAACACAGGGCATTCTTAAATATAATGAAATATAATTGTAGCACAGAGAGTAACCACAAAGTCTGTGACTTGATTCATAAAATATTGCTATTTAACAGCTCCAAAGTCTTGGCATACGTTTTAATCATTTCTATTCTACAGTAATACACAGAGGAATGGAGACAACTCCCATATTTTCCATAAAAACTGTCCTGTATTTCTTTCTTAACAGATGAGGAAACTAAAGTGTTTCAAATAAAGAATTTATTTGTGATTCTATAGATGTCAGATCTAGAATTCGATATTCTAATTTCTAAGACAATAACTTTTCACATCTCCAATGCCGCACCAGGAATAGATACGACTATCTGGCCTCAATAAGAAAAAGAAAAAGTAATTAAAACTGAGTAAATAAATGATAATTGGTGATATATTTTCCTCTCAGAGTGGCTAAAGAACAAGCAACTTTCTTAGCTAACAGCCTTCCCCTGCAAGCCCTGATGATAAACAGAAGACAATGAATACTCTTCAACATACTCAGGAGGTCGAGTGTCTGGTCCAAGGTCTCGGTGTAAAGAAATCCTGTCACTTGCAAAAGCATTAAAACAGTGTTGTGCTTCTCCCCGTTCTTTCTCCTTCTGCTCTTCAACACTTAGGCTGATTATCTTGAATGCTCTACCAGAAGCACCAGGTGCATTAGAATCCTGAGGTGGGCGGTCAAGAACCGGCTTCAGTTCTGCTGCTGTGTAATATCCTTGCAAACAAGGTCTCTCACCAGCATCAATGCTTTGCCTAACAGGTGCTCTTATTTGCATTTTTGGCATTGCATCTTTAATATTGTGTACAGCTTCTAGCATTAAATCAAGCATCTTGGGTTTCTTTTTCATGTTCCTTTCCATCCTTGATTCCTCTTTGGATTGTTGAACACTTACTTCTCTTTGCATTAAAATCAAAAATATTATAAAGAAAAAAATTACTGCACCAAACTTCCAGAACTTTTTATGAAAATGTCTTTTAAGATGTAATTTCACTAGTCGCTTTAGTTGAGTCATTCTGACATTAAAAGCTTGTCACTTGACAAATAACAGTTATAGTTTCCGCTTTTAATTATATTTTTTATCATGGATTTGCTGGCAAGCAGGTTTCATTAAATGGTAATACCTATAAACAGAAATGATAAATGACATTAGTTACTATTCATTCCTATCAGTATGGTTCAATTCACTCATTCAACCAACAACTCAACAAGAGCTACAAACAAAATACTCCTATCCTATATAACAAAAGGGTAATATGCAAACTGCTGAACGGCAGAACGACCGGTTGCTATGATGCACACTGACCACCAGGGGGCAAATTATACTTTTGGAAGAACACAAATATAATTAACCACAATCTATCAGGACTATAAAATATATTAGAACCCTAGCTGGTTTAGCTCAGCAGATAGTGCATCAGCCTGCGGACTGAAGGGTCCCGGGTTCGATTCTGGTCAGGGGCATATGCCCAGGTTGTGGGCTTGGTCCCCAGTAGGGGGCGTGCAGGAGGCAGTCAATCAATGATTCTCTCCCATCATTGATATTTCTTTCTCCCTCTCCCTTCCTCTCTGAAATCAATCCTATATAATAAAAGGCTAATATGCAAATTGACCAAATGGTGGAACAACCGGTCACTATGATGTGCACTGACCACCAGGGGGCAGATGCTCAATGCAGGAGCTTTCCCCTGGTAGTCAGTGCTTTCCCACATGGGGAGTGCCGCTCAGCCAGAAGCTGGGCTTGCCAGCAGGCTCACAGCTGGCAAGCACAGCAGAGGTGCTGGGAGCCTCTCCTGCCTCTGCAGTAGTGCTAAGAACCCCTTGGGAGATGTCCGACTGCCAGCTTAGGCCTGCTCCCCTAAGCTGGCAGTCAGACATCCCTCGAGAGGCCCCAGACTGTGAGAGGGTACAGGCTGGGCTGAAAGACCCCTCCTCCCCCAGTGCATAAATGTTGTGCACCAGGCCTCTAGTAAAAATATATTAACAAAAAATAATAAATATAAGGTATTTTTCTCCAGTAAAAAATACATTGTTAACTCTGGCAAATAGCTATTATATAATATGCATAAAATTACTTTTAAAAATATATTTTGAGTCTAAAATAACAGGTATCTTAACTTAATAATCAAGGGGGCAAAGGATTTTATTAAACTGATTATAAAGAAAGGGAATCCATAAGAAAGCAAAGGTATACTGACAGGTACTATCAGTCATGCATTCAAAAGATTGCTTTTTATTTTATGAAGTTTGCCCATAACCTATGAACCTTTACTCCAACTAAACCAATTAATATTAAAAAGCAGCATCACCAACAAGTAAACACATTCTCGCAGATTTGCTGACCTGACAGTACTTTGAATTCTGACAAAACCAATTAAGACTAGAACATTAAGAGCATCGGTTGTTATAAAATAGCCATTTTCAAATACAAAAGTACATCACACAAAATACAAAAATCTAGAAGCAAAAAAAAAAAAAATGCATCAAGCTTTACTTGTAGTATCTCTAAAGAGGCAACAGAGATCATCAAATTATAAAAGCAGCATTTGGCCTGATAAAATACTGCTTGCTCTTGACCCTAAAAACAGAGCAACATGTTTACTAAAACCTAATATAGGCCACTGGGAGCAAAAGAAAGGAGGGAGAGAAAAAGGGCATCTATGACAGGCTGAATCACAGTGAGGGTTTATTTTCTTCATGGTGCTTTAAAAAAAAAAAAGGTAATGTGAAAGGGTTTTAGTACACAATTACATACCATGCACCATTATAATTATTCAAGTAATTTGTAGGGGTAAGACCTGTCCTCCATAAACATATTTTAAGGAAAATATCATTTATAGAAGTGAAAACTAACTTTGACATTTTATTCCCTTTATCTTCCAAAGTTATTATTAAATTTAAAATAAGAAAACTAAGTTCAAAGATGGAGTCTCTGGTCTTTAGCAAGACATTTTAAACTGAATAAACAAAAATGCCAGAACTTGCATACTTAATTGTATATACTATTTCTAATTGGACTGCTCTAAATTATTTTTTTTTAGTATGAAATGGATACTAGTTCCAGAAAATACCTCAACTAATGATGTATATGTCCATGAAAATGAGATGCCAATATTTCTGAGCTTTGGTTATTTTAAGAGCCTCAAGGAAAGAGTAAATGCCCTCCTTAAGCTTTATACATGGTTTGAAGACACAATATAAGGAGTTTGAGAGCCACACAATTGTTGTGTAATGTCTTATGTCAGCTGTTTTGTTAAGCTGAGACTATAAAATTAAAGATGCCTCTTACCTTTAAGGAGCAAAGACATGGCATGTCAACAGGCAACAAGAAAGTAGCATGACATGTGCTATCACAGGAGACTGTGAAAGCAACATGGAGGGTAAGGAGAAATGTTGGAGGAAATTTCCCAGAGATGATACTGCTGAGCAGGATCTTGAAGATAAGCAAATAGTAGGCAGGTGGACAAGAGAGAGGAGAGAGAGGGAATGGCAGATACAAAGGCATGAAAAGCCATGGTCAATCCTGAGTACAGCAGAAAGGGAAATCACAGGTTTGAAATTGTAGGAGGTGAGGCTGGAAGGTCAGTTAAAGGCAAGTTAACAAAGATAATTTGGAATCTACCAATTTGTCCTGAATAGAATGAATAAAAAAGAACTGGATATTTTAAGGAAGGGTTATAATCACATTTATGCTTTAGAACAATCAGTTTCTTAGTGCCAGTAAAATTGATAGATACAAAAAAAATTAAGAGATCAGGAAGGATGGAGAAGACTGATTCAAAAGAGTTCAGAAACCCTAGCCAGTGTGGCTCAGTTGGTTGAGCATCATCCCATGCACTGAAAGGTGGTCAGTTCAATTCCTGGTCAGGCCACATACTCAAGGTTTTGGGTTCGATCCCCAGTCGGGGTGCATACAGGAGGTAACCAATCAATATTTATCTTTCTTTCTCTCTCTCTCTCCCTCTCCCTCCCTTCCTCTTTCTCTAAAATCAATCAAAACATATATATTTTTTAAAAAAATATGCCCTGTACTAGTAAGTGGTATTAAGTAGGACTTGGTGAGAGAGAGAGAAGAATGGGAGGTATGTGGGTCAAGTGATGACATTAACAAAGAAAGGATAGATTTGGGATGGGAATTAGGGATATAATTTCTTTAATTTTGGACAAGACAAATTTTATATGCTGGTAGGACTTCCCAGTGAGTTCCCATAAGCAAAAAACATATATGGGACTGAAAATCAGGGAAAAGCTCTGTGCTAGAGATGAAAATTTGAGAGTCAGTGTCAGGGTACAGAAGAGTTCACCTATAGTATATATTTAAGCGGTGGGAGGGAAAAAAAGACCCAGGGAAATAAGGAAAACAAATGGGGAGTCAAGTGAAAATAGATTAGCAGATAAAGTGTCCGTGTCAGGTAAATTTAGATTTTTTACAATCTGCATCTTATCCTTGAGAGATGATAATCGTTTGACAGCTAGTTGGCCTTTAAAAATAAATTTTACTAGACCTGGTCCAACAAGCTTTAGTGCAAACCCAGGAATGAACCTTGGAAGAGAATACAATAGACTAGTTGTAGTTATGCCCCCAAGATTCTAAGGCTTAGAATCCAGATGCTTTCAGACTAACAGGGCAACCACCTGACCTAAGAGTTTCCAGAAAGATAAAGATGAGAAAAATATTTGGGATAAGCAAAATGTTATTTCATAGTCCCCAACCTATGAAATACAGCCTAATCACCTTTCTCTAACCACAGCTTGACAACAGGCATGGATATAAATCAACCTATGTTCACCCTCCTTTCAGTTTCTGGCAGAAGCACTAAAAACCCCCTTTTGGAGTGCTATTTAGTGATACCAGATTTCTTAAGTAGCCAAGGGTAGGCTAGATTTAAAAATCAGAAAGGGAATAAGATAGTCTCCTAAGAATGTTTTAACACAATAGAGAACCAAAGAGAGTCCAGAGAAATCACAGAGTAGAGGGAGATGACAGAACTAGATTCTTCTACAGTAGTGATACTTTTCCTAAAACATTTTATGCCAGAAATCATATTTGTGGCTAGGGTGGGGAATTAGTAAAAAGAATGGAATTAATGAAGTACTTGGAACAGTTCTTTTTTTTAGGAATAAATTATAAACTAAAGGAGTTCTTCATCGATAGGACAATAATCCTATCACTGTGTGAATATGTTTATCTAAGGGAGTCACTCAAATAGTAGGTTTTAGTTTAGGATGTCTCTAATGCAGGAGTGAAGGAAAGTTCATGAAGAGTGGCTCCCTTACTCATGGTTGTTTTTCTATGTTGGTGACATAGTGGGCACCCAATAAATGTTTGTTGATTGGAGAAGAGAAGAAGGAGGACCAAGATTTAATTTATTATTAGAAATAATTTAAAAAGTAGTTAACTTTTGTTAAATGTTAAGTCCCTGATACTTTAACACTTACTAAATAAATCCTAATACAGTCTTTCAATGGTTCTGTAAATTTATGTTATTCCCATCTTACTGACAAACAATGACAGTCAAATAGATTAAGCAGTTTGGCCAAGGTAATTTTAAGTGGAAGAGTAGCATTTTTCCCAACCATGTTCAAACTCAGGTCTGATGTAAAATCCTGAACTTTTAACTGAAGTTATCTGAAAAAGGGGTCTTTAAAAGTCAAGAACTGATACCCTAGCTGTCTGGAAATTAGGGAATAACCTAGGTAAAAAAAAAAAAAAAAAAAAGTACAAATAGCCTCATATCACCTCAGGTAAGTTTTGCAGGGCAAATGAGTTTTGTGATTTTGTTTCTTTCTTTCTTTTCTTTCTTTTTTTTTTTTTTTTCTGTTTTAAGAGCATGTTTGGGGAAAGAAAGATTGAGGATGAGGTTTTAGATCTTGAAAATAGGTGTTAAGATACTGAGACCTTTTAGTTGCTCTACTAAAGTAGAACATGATGCTTTGTTCTTTTCAGATTATTTCTGTAAAGAATGGTCTTCTTATATCAATTGCTGATCACATAAAAGATTTCAACATTGGTTCTCCAGGGATTTTGTATGACTTTTCTGTCCTTTGCTGCTAATGTGCAATGTCCAGGCTTCCATTAATGAAAACTACACTCAACATTAAGCATCTCCATCAATGGTCCTCA